AAAATCTTTTCTCCATCAATGTTTCCTCCATAATGCTTGACTTTCATTGTTAAAACATTTCTTCCTCGAAATAAACCTTTCTTCCTCGGAATAAACCTTTCTTCCTTCGAATAAGTATTCAAACCTACCAGATAAAGACACCTACGCACAGATCAAAAATTTCATTGAGACGTAGCGCCACAAGTGGCTTCGTCTTGAACTGTGGAAATGTCTATCTACACACTGTCAGTATCAACATTTCTTCTAGCTTGGAATAAATCAAGTCTTTGTTCCCCAACCTTGTGTCTATGGTGGTGTCTATGGAGTAAGCCCACATTTTTCCTTCTTGGAGTAGGATTTTCATTCTTGGAGTAAGCCAAAACATGCCAGGGGTGGGGTTAGAACCCGCGATCAGAATGTCTCAAAACTCCAGACCGTCGCGTAAGCCACTGGTCGAGTGGCTAAGGCGTCGGTCTGGAGTTTTGAGACTCTGATCTCGGGTTCTAACCCCACCCGTGGTATGGTTTGTTTACAATCGTGTCATTACGGTTTCGTGAATCTTTGGAGTAAGCCTCTCGTCATTGTAGTAAACTTCCCCTCCTTGATGCCAGCCTTCTGTTGTCGGAGTAAACCTTTCGTCATTGGAGTAATCAGTTTCTTCTTTGTAGTAAATAATAATAAGTCTGTGGTGGATGGATCATTTCTTGATCTGTCCATCTTCCTTGAAGTGAACCTTTCTCCTTGGAACAAGCCATTAATCCTTAGAGTAAACATTTCGTCTCTGGATAAAGCCTTTTCTCTTTGTATTACGCCTTTCTTCCCAATACCTTTTCTCCTTTGAGTACGTCGTTCGCTCTGGTAACTAGCCTTTTTAATTGAAAAAGCCGTTTCTCAGTGAAATAAGCCTTCCCTCCTCTGATAAATAATTTCATTAAAATTCTTATTTTTCCTTTCTTCCTCTGAGTAAGGCCAGCCAGAGTAAGGTAATTCCTTCCTCGAGTAAGCTTTCTTCTCGTTGGATAAACATTTTTCTGTCTGGACTCAAGGAATTTCCTTATTGAAATATGTTTTCTGTCCTTGAAGTAATCCATTCACAAATGGAATAATCTTCTCCTCCTTGTGGTAAACCTATCCTCTTCAGAATAAATTTTTCCAATTTAGAATAAGCCTTTTGTAAAGAACAAAAGGTACAATACCGTGACTGGAACAATACGTAAATAACCGCACATTGGAGAGAGGCGCTTACTACGACGTTTCGGTTCGTCTTGGGTCATTTACAATGTCATACTCGTCGTAAAGCTCTTCTCTCCTATGTATGGTCATTTGGAAAACCTTGAATTGATTCTTCCTTAGAGTAGGGAATTCCTTGGAGAAAGTCTTCCATCTCTGTAATAAGTGCATTGTAATAGGAGTAAGTTTCTCGTGCTTGTAGTGTGCCTTTGTTTCTTGGTGTAACAGTTCCTCTTGAAGGTAAATATTTCCTCTTAGTAATAAGATCTTCCTGCTTTGAGTATGCATGTCGTCCTCAGAGTCAACATTTGAATTAACATTTCCTTCTGGGAAATATGCCTCTTGTTTACAAAGGCTTTGTTAATTGGAGTCATCCTTTCCTCCCCTGAGAAACTCTTTTCTTCTTAAATTAAACCTTTCCTCTCTTGAAATTCCTCTGTGGAGCAAATATTTCTTACTGTCCTTATCTTTTTGCTCTTGGAGTAAGCCTTAACTCGATTTTCAAGTTAGAGCTAGCTTTTTCATTTTTAGAGCTAGCTTTTTCATTTTTAGAGCTAGCTTTTCCATTTTTCAGTAAGCCTAATTTTATCATAGTACACCTTTTCTCGTGAATAAGCTTTTTTTTTATCAAGGAGTAAGCATTTCGATTTAAGATTAAGTCTTTCCTCCAAGTCATTATGCTATTTTCTGTTTGGAGTAAGTCTTATCCTCATTTTTAAGGTTATTGTTATTGCAGAAGACCTTTACTCGGTGGTGTAAAATTTCCGAACAGCTCATGCACTGAGTGTCCGTTGTTCGATCCCCGGTACAGGTAAAAATGGCATATGTGTAACACTTGGGTGTCTTTATTGAGGAAACGTTTCGCCAGTGGCTTCATCAGTCCATACAAAGGAGAACATTGAAGAACAGGAGGTGTTTGAGGTAATCAGTCCCTCAGCCTTGAGTCGATGTGGTCAGTCCATCAATCTTGAAAAGAATACAGGATATGTGCGTAGAAGTAGCTATATACTGTAGGCAGGAGAGGTGCAGCAGTCGTAGGTGGTATCACATTTGTCCAATGTGGAAGCAGGCCATGCCCAAGAGTTAGGCAAGTTATCTTAATACAGGGAATTCTTCACTTGCCTAACCCTTGGGCATGACCTGCTTCCATATTGGACAAATGTGATACCACCTACGACTGCTGCACCTCTCCTGCCTACAGTATATAGCTACTTCTACGCACATATGCTGTATTCTTTTCAAGATTGATGGACTGACCACATCGACTCAAGGCTGAGGGATTGATTACCTCGAACTCATGTTCTTCATGATTCTCCTTTGTTTGGACTGATGAAGCCACTGTGTGGCGAAACGTTTCCTCAATAAAGATACCCAAGTGTTGCACATGTGTCTAATTTATCAACTTGTCGGTTCTCTGAACCATTCATCTACAGGTAAAAATATTTAGCTTGTTTCCTTAAGACACTGCTATGGGTTCTAGCTGACTGGTGTGGGTCACATCCTGAGGCACAAGATTAATATATGTTGCCCGAAATTCTCTGCATAACCAAGTGCTTTCTAAATAGAATTCATTATATGTCAGCTATGGTCTGTATAAGTTGTATCATGTCCTTGTAGATATAAAGATTATTATTATTATTAGAGTTAGAACATAAGAGCAAATGAAAGAAGAGGCACTGCAGCAGGTCTACTGGCCCATGATAGACATGTCCAAGTTACACTTGCTTAAGAAGGAATGAGCACTGCTGGAGGCCTACTGGCTCATTCTAAACAGGTCCAACTCACACCCACTTGTTTAACCTAATTTTAAAACCACTAAATGTTTTAATTTTAATGACGCTACTCGGGAATTTATTTCACTAACCCACAACTCTATTACCAAACCCTTTATTTTTTTTTTGTTTTCCATTTATACAGCTCAATCATATCTTCCCTAATTCTACGCCTGTCTAGAGAGTACAAATTCTGTGCTTTCAGTCTATCCTCGTAGGAAAGATTACTGATACATGTGAAAATTTATGTGGGTAAATTTTTCTGTCAATGTTCTGAATTAACATTTCACCTCCATAAATGTGAAGAGACTTTGGCACATCAAACAGTTTACACTTACTGATATTGATGCACCTCAGAGTGAAGTGGGACTTTAAGGTCACCAGGTCACAATAATGTCCGTCCTTCGTGCCCACCTTCTCAGGTCATCAAGTCTCACACGTCCGGACCTTAAATTATTATTAGAACCTATAGTTCTTAAAATTATTTGATTTATACCTAGTAACACTGACAAATTATAAGTGGACTGTATATCATTTACTTGACCTGAGTAATTTACTTGTGTATTGGGTAATTTTATATAAACATAAATCAATTACATGACTAGAAAAAAACGTAACGGACATTTCAATATTACTCACTAAATTAAGATTTTGGTGTTACATCCCAACGCCTCCCTTTCTGTAGGCAATTTACATTGACCAATATAAATTAACGTACCTGTAGTGAAAATTAATACCCTGGGAGGCGTACATTACTTGTAGTGTCAACTTCATCAATTTCTTGCGATAATGATTTGATTACACCTTAATTAATTTTATCTGAAGATTTGGCCGATTTCCAAATTCCTTGAGAGAGCAACACTACCTCTCAAGACGGTCACTCGGGGCAGTACTCCTCAGATTCAGTTTTCTTTTCATGACCTCTCTCCAGGGGTCAAATAAAGAGCCGAGATGACCAGCAGTCAACCTTCCACCCCCGTGTCCAACACTACTTTAAACCATGCCATATATATATATATATATATATATATATATTATACTAAGCATCAACCTTTCCACCCGTGTCCAACACTACTTTAAACCATGCCATATATATATGGAGTTTTATGACTCTCTGATCGCGGGTTCTATCCCCGCCCGTGGTATGGTTTGTTTGCAATCGTGTCATTACGATTTCGTGAGTCTACACTACTTTGCCATCTATACAACACCACCTTCCCAACACAGTTGGAAACACTCACTCGCTTCCTCACAAGTAGTTTGGTAGTTTGATGACCATTAATACGCCATCTTTACATTACCACTTAACATTTAAATTAAATTATATTAATTATAGGAAAATTATGTAAGAAAAATCCACACATGGGATCAACTTTATTCTTCTCTGACGTTTTCCAGAGTATTTATTTCCATTCTGTAATACAGTGACCATTATTAAAAGTTTGAAGTCGATCAGAAGAGGTTTTTCTCAGGTTATCATAAAGAAAAGAAACATAGAGTGATCATTATAAAATTGACCAGAATGTGCACTTGGTAATATTGGAATAAGCATTTGCCAAGTTACAGTTGATGGAATGATACATTGACAAGTTATAAAGGAATATCGTCCAGGGAACAGTTTAGGTGACCAGTGACAGGTGGTCCTTCTGAGACAACTAATAATTAGAGTTTTCTTTATCAGTGAATTCAAACAATAACAAGCCACGTGTCCTGTGATCGCTCCTTCAAGAGTTTGTGATACTCTATTATCCAATCGGATTTAACATTTTTCCATGAACATATTTTTACTAATTATGTGATACTGAGGTTAAATATTACCTATCAGTATCTCTCAAAAATATTAAAACTTCATAAATCGTAGGTTCAAAACATCAACCATCTACCCATTCAACATCTGTTATTTTGTTTACTGTTGCAAATGACGTATATTTCATTCCGGTACGTTACACAAAACACTCGACGGTCCTATAGTTATCCCTGTTGTTCTTACTAATATTCTCTGGTGACATTCCCTCACAGACTTGCCGGATGAGGAGCCGCGGATCAGTGGTGTTGGCTCCAGCCACCAGCTACACCAGGAGGTGATGATCAACTGTTCATCACCGAGATCTCAGCCTCCAGCCTTTCTCACCTTCTATGTCAACCAAAAGCTGGTAACTTCTTTTTCCATATTTCAGTGGTAAGGTTATGTAGTGGAGAAGTTGGTGTTTGCTTCTTATTAGGAACAAATGTGGTAGTCTGATGGTCTGATGCACCAGAACGTAAATGATCCATCAAGTCGAAAGGACTTAGCTGGGCAGAGAAAGGGCTATGCAAACAAGCAGGGGTATTTGTTTTTCCTTGTATTCCTTAAAAATTATATATTATGTGCAATATAATGAGAGTAAAATATACTGGAAATGTTAAAAATGAAAGCCACTCAAGCCTTGGCTGAATTCACCGGCTTTCACGTGACTGACTGTATCAATAAGTGCAGCAGTGGGACCCGACTTGTTTCACTCGGAATTGCTAGTTCACTGGTCTACAGGTCATGGCAAATATGTGCGCGACGAACGTCGAATAAATTGTAACGTACCTGGCGACACTACACACCCCTACCCTAAAAAGCAATGTAATAGCTGGGTAAGGCGTCCCATCTATTTGTTTTAGCCCGCCTCATGGTGAGCGAGAATTCCACGGACGCTCTAACCCACGGAACCATACAATTGCATTGTATGGATTATATGGTCTTCATGATTCACGAAATCGTAATGACACGATTGCAAACAAACCATACTACGGGTGGGGATAGATCCCCGACCGTGGTATGGTTTGTATGGTTTTGTGGATTAGAGCGTCGTGGAATTCCATCCCCCGGCTAGTCGCAGCGTTGATTAAATATCACTCGTTCGTGGCTACAATACGAGATTATATAATTATATATATATATATATATATATATATATTATATATATATATATATATATATATATATATATATTAATGGATGTGTGTGTGATTATGTAATTATTCTAAGTTTTACACTCCTGCACGGATCCTATAAGTGCAGGTATATCGTATAGATGTATTGTATCCTTCGGTATATATATATAAAATTGATGCTCCAAGGACTGCACTTTCTTGTTATTTATTTGTATTTTTAAACATTGTCTTATTCCGACAGAACACTTGAAGGTAAAGGATTTTTATGAAAATTTGCTGGGTAAAATGACATTAGCTGATCGATGATGATATAAGGGAGTGCGTGCAGGAAAGAGCTTCAGACGGGTTTAGGCCGGCATGGAGAATGGATGGGATGCTGGACGACGCCTGATGGAAATCCGTATTTTCCTGTGTGAGGCGGTCGGATGTAAAGTTTGGATGGCCCTCTAAAGTGTTTAAAGTCTGTTACTCGAGTGGAATTGAGGGGGATCTGATTTTCTGAGGTTTAAGTTAATATGTTAGTTATAGTGGCAGCTCTGAATTATCTTATTTTTCTAGTGGTTAAATAAGAACGAATGAAGGGAGGAAATTATTATCTTGGTATATGAATGACTATAACAAATCTTTTCTATTTATATATGTTTTTATATATTCTTATATTTTTATCCACTTTCAAAATATTATTCCTCTATATAAATATTTATAGAGATATATGAGGTTTACGTAATCCTATATCGACTTTTATTTAGCGATTATCAAACTTTTTCTAGTGACACAAACTCTTTCCTTCAACTTTTCCCTCATTACAATATTTTTACTTTCAATCTGACATATTTAAGACTTATCACATACAAAATTTCTTTAATTAAAACAAATTACCTTAAATAAAATAAATTGCCTCAAAATTGAAGCATACTTTTTCTGCCGAATATTTAAATATTTTTAGTTCCTCAAAGGAGGTCCCTGAGCTAGAAGACGACTCTTGATACAAGAAACTCAACTTCATTTCTTCCACGGATCTCACATGTTTGCGTCTTTTTTTCTTTATTGTAATAATTCTGTGTAAATATATTGATATGTTCTCATATTCTGCGCTTCAAACTTTATTTAAAATGTAAATGTATTTGTGTTTTTTTTTTTTTTTGGGGGGGGGCGCTATGCAAAGTTGGATTTCATTAGACCAGTGGTGTATTTCTGAAAGAATCCTGAATAAGACACACATGCAATATCCACATATCTTCATTTAGAGATATCTCGCCTGCACAAACTCCGGTATCTCTCTAGTGGGTCCTACCCACACGTGAAGGTATATCCAACTACTGCATCTCACCTATGACTCCAATGCATTAATCATCGTTCTAGTGCCTCGGCATTATATTAAAGAAAACGTGCGAAGCAGAAAATATTTCTCAGCGGAGGATAGTCAGGTAAGCCAGCGGAAGGCCTCGGTCAGATGACCAAAAGCTCTATCTAATAGCGGGTCATCATCTGACAAAGACCCGCGTCAGGAAACACTTGTACTGTTTCCTGACGAACCTTACCCAACCTAACCAGAAGTATTTCGGGCGATCCAAGAAAGATATCCCCGTGTTCCATAAGCCCAGCCTTATATACTTCAATGCATGCAAGAGGAATATTGAAGTGGTCATAAAATGGCGGCAATGGAAAATACAACTATGTAAGTGTGTATGTGAATTTTGGTACATATGTGTACTCTCATAATTATACAGTAAATGTACGAATGTATGCATATGTGTTTTTTTCTGAATTTACATGTGTATTTTCTGTATGCATACGTGAGCAGAGGTATGCCAAAATATGTGTGTATGTGTGCATACACATATATTTTGGATTTTCTGTTATTTTTATATTGTCCAGTAAATGTTGTGGCCCATAAGATCCATGTCTTCTACAATGTGTGCTAAGTATTGTTATATATACTACAATATAAACACACACACACACACACACACACACACACACACACACACACACAACGTTCAAAGGCTTCGCATTGCTTCTGTTTCAACAAATATACATATATTTACGGGCACTTCTCATGTTCCTAGAACTATTACAGTCTGTGGAAGTCCCTGAAACACAGTCCAATACACAACAGTGTTTTGCACTCTCTGCACACAAAAAGCACGTCCCTGTGCTTTGCTGGTATCCTTATTGTGTGTGCACACTGGAGGGAGTAAAATACCTCGTCTAGGGGTATATATAAAGGTATTTAAAAATAAGCCACCCTAAGCTCCTCATGGTTTGTAAACTAAACAAAATGTTATTTAAACATGTGGTCAGTACTTCAAGTTTAACCAGGAAAGGCAGATAAACAGTAACAATATATACAAAACAATATATGCCTTCAATACATTTCACATGTTAGAAAATAGGCACCGGAAAATTAACTTATTCACAACAGTAGGTCTTCATGACCTTTCCCCTCAACTGCTGTGTTCTGATATAAAGAATCAGGACATGCCTGCTGAATGTCACATTCAAGAATTTAAGTTATACCACGTTGATAGAAGAAACGGGAAGGTGGGCGGGGTAGCGATGTATGTCAGACAACACTTAATTTGCTGCATAAATATGAGTATTAACACTAAAAGAACACACATAGAGTGTCTGGGCAGAATTTTTGGAAGGGTATGATAAAATAATTTTCGGGGTGATTTACCGTCCCCCAAACTTGGACAGGGACCAAAAGAGAATACTTTAGGAGGAAACTGTTAAGGCCACAAGGCACGATAACGTAGTAATTATAGGAGACTTTGAACTTCAATCAAATAGACTGGAATTCATTGACTGGGAGTCTTGAGTCATACGACTTCCTGGAGGTAGTTCAAAACTGTTTCTTGGGAGCAGTTTGTGACAGAACCAACAAGGTGAAATAACCTTCTTGATTTGGTTCTGGCTAACAAGGTTACCCTTATTAATAATCTTGAGATTACAGAGCAACTTTGCGTAAGCGACTACAAATCAATTACTTTTAGTATCGATTTCTGCTTAGCAGATTGCAATGGGCTTAGAGAACACTTGTCATCTGTGGACTGGGGTAGCGAAGAGAACAATCAATAAGACAGTTTTCTAAACACTATGCACGCTGCCCAAAGAACATTTATTCCAATTAGAGAAATGAGATCGAATAGAAATGATCCGAAATGGATGAGCATTAGGTTCCAACATCTTTTAGGGCAGAGGAAAGGAATTTGTAAGGATATCAAAAGAGGTGAGGGCCATCTCGTAAATCAGTATGCCCACATTAAGAGGGAGAAAAAATGATTGAAAGCATCATGAAAGCAATAGGAGAGGACGACATGACCCAGCTGACAAATTTTCGGATAATTGGGTGGTTTGGGAAGGGGAAAAAAGCGTCCAGTTAGAGTGATTTTCAAGGCAGAAAGCAGGAGAAAGCACGCCTAAGGGACAATCAGGTGTTCTGGAGTGTGTACCTCGACCGAAACAGAACACAAGAAGAAAGGATGACACTGAAAGAGAGGGTGCAACGTCACAAGGAGGAATGGGAGGCAAGGAAGGTGGAGAGCAGGAGAAATCAGGCCCTCGTGGAAGAACAAACACAACCCCCTCCAGTACCACCCACAGAAGGAACACAACCATGGCATTCCCAAAGCAATCAAACGACCTAACCCAAAACCCACTCACTGTACCCCACTCACTAAACCCCACCCCCACAGTAACCCTCTGTAACCCGCACATCCCCCTCAGTTCAAACCCCACCCCCACAGAAACCCACAGTAACCCACACAATGTGCCCTCTCCCCTCATCCCCCTCACCACAGACCCCACCCTCACAGTAACCCACAACAACCCACACACTGCACCCTCTATCCCCATCCCCTCACAACAACCCCCTCCCCCACTGTAACCCCCCATAGGCACTCTTCCCCCATCCCCCTCACCACACCCCCACCCCCACTGAAACCCCAGATAGGCCCTCTGCCCCCACACCCCACACCACAGACCCCACCCCCGCACCAACCCCCATATAGGCCCCTACCAGGGCACCTGCTCCCCCTAACCCACCTCTCTCCCCAGACCACAGTTATAGAAAAGAAGTTGAAGGCTTGGTACACGAACGCGGATGGAATAACGAATAAATGTGAGGAGTGGCATGAAAGAATCAAGGAGATGTCCCCAGACATCGTAGTGGTTACAGAAACAAAACTCACTGGGATAATAACAGATGCAATCTTCTCACCTGGAT